TCCTCCTCCTCCTCCTCCTCCTCCTCCCAAAATGTTGCGTGCACCGCCCCTCCTTCCCGAGGGTCCTTGGACGCCCTGACACCTCACTGGCGCTCTCCAGGGGTCTCCGTAGCTGCCAAGACGGCTCAGGAAAGGAAGGCCACTAACGCAGACGATGGCATTGGCATCGACATCGACGAGAAAGACGGCGACAACTGACACGAGAACTAAAACGACAACTAAGACGACGACACCGACGACGAACACGACGACGACAACCGCAACGGTGACGATGGCGATGACGACGACGACCACGACGACGACGACGACGACGACCGCGACGACGACAACGACCTTGATGACGACCACAACGACGACGACGACGACGACGACGACGACGACCACGACGACGACGACGACGACGACGACGACGACGACGACGATTGGGAAAGAGCGACGACGACTGGGCGACGGCTGGGTGACCGCGTCGACGACGAAGACGACGCAGACGACGACAAAGACACCGACAACGAAGACGACGCCGACGATGCCGACAACTAAGACGACAACTAAGACGACAGCAACTGTAGCAGCAGAAACAACAACCACAACAACCACAACAACAACAACAACAACAACAACAACAACAACAACAACAACAACAACAACAACAACAACAACAACAATCAGTTTACCCTCATGCGCGATGTTTCCACACGAAGCATGCGACCATCATGATAACCATCCCCATCATGGGGGATTACTGTTCTGTAGCGGGGTCCGTTATTCCCATTCCCAGATCTTCCGCCCAATGAGGTCTTGCAAACATCTCCTCCGGGGAGTTTCAACATATTCCGCCACGACAACGCATGCCTGCGCCTTGCTGCGCCGATGCGAGACCGCCAGCGGAGCCCCAGCTCAGGGTGAAGCACAAGGAAGTATCGAGCGACAGGATTGCCTTGGTGGGGATGGGGGCTGTCGGCGGCGAGGCAAGGACCTGGCCCTGAATAGAAAGGGAGGAAGTCTCGAGCAGGGCCGCTGTTCTTGCTGGGAGCGGCGCTAATGCTGAAGAGAGCAGGGCGCTAGTCCAGCGTAAAACAAAACGAAGCCTCGAGCGGGAACGCTGGCTTTGTTGGGACGGCGGTTGTCGACGGTGGGGAGGGGCACCGCCTTGAGTAAGAAGGGAGGAAGTCTCGAGCGGGAGCCGTGGTTGTCGGGACGGGGGCTGTCGGCGGCGAGGAACAGCACCGTCCAAAAGAGAGCATCCAGCGTAGAACGGGAGGAAGTTTCGGGCGGGAGCGCTGGTTTTGTCGGGGCGGCGGTTTTCGGCGGCGAGGAGGAGCACCGCCTTGAGTAAGAAAGGGAGGAAGTCTCGAGCGGGAGCGTTGTTGTTGCTGGGGGCGGCGCCGATGAGAGAAAGAGTAACGCGCCAGTCCAAGGTAAAACGGGAGGACGTCTCGAGCGGTAGCGCTGGTTTTCTTGGGACGGCGGCTTTCGGCGGCGAGCAAGAGCACCAACCCTGAGAAAAAAGTAGGAAATCTCGAGCGGGAGCGTTGTTGCTGTTGGGGAGCTGGTTTTGGCGCCCCCCCCCAAACCGTTCGAGCGTATGCCTCATGTTGAATGAAAATGTAGCCGGCGCCGAGGCGAGAGCGTCAAAGCGCCTGCGGGGGTCCAACAATAATAATTGCTTAATAGTTAACATTCAACAACAGCAACAACCACCATAGCAACAACCACAACAACAACAACAACAACAACAACGACGACAACGACGACGACGACGACGACGACGACGACGACGACAACAACAACAACAACAACAACAATAACAGCAACAGCAACAACAACAACAACAACTAGAACAACGACAACAACAGCAACAACAGCAACAACAACAACAACGACCACAAAAACAATAACAACGACAACAACAGCAACAACAACAACAACAACAGCAAGAACACGAAGGACAACAAAAAGCAACAACCACAACAACAATTGCAGCAGCAGCAACACACAACACCAACAACAACAACAACAACGATAACAACAACAACAACAACAACAACAGCAGCAGCAGCATCAACAACACCACCACCAACAACAACAGCACCACCACCAACAACAACAACAACAACGACAACAACAACAACAACAACAACAACAACAACAACAACGACAACAACAACAACAACGACAACAACAACAACAACGACAACAACGACAACAACGACGACGACAACGACGACGACGACAGGACAACGTCGCAGACGACGGTGATGACGACGACTAAGCGACTGCACGACTGGACGACGGCACGACAACTACGACGACAAAGGCCCTCCCCGTGCCGTGCGCCGGCCGGCGAACGTGGATGCACGGGTGGCCCACGGCCCGGCAGCCGCGAGCGCACGGAGCACCCCACGGGGCTGCACCACGCCCGCTGCGCCCCATGGATTGCACCACACGGCAGGCAGGAAGCCATGGGGCACACCCCCATGCACGTTGCACCGCATGTTTTTTTGGGTTGAGGGAGAAGAAGGGAGCGGTCACCGAACAATCCGCTGCCCCTCGTGGGGGCTAACATGTTCCAGACGTCCAGTGCAGCTCCCGCTCCAGACGTCCAATGCAGCTAACACATTGCACCGCATGTGCCGCAACTCCCAGCTTGCACCACATCGGTGGAACCACAAAACAAGGTGCGCCGCGCATTCTACACGTCCAGTGTATGAGATCACTGCCTGGGGTCTACGCTGGCAAACCTTGGGCCTTCGGAGGCCTCTGGAGGAGGCGATGTATAAGCTGTGTCGCAGCAGCATGGAGGTGGGAGGGGAAGAAGGAGGAGAGCAGCGGCGGCGAAAGGGCGGCGGAGACCATGTCATCGTACGCTTTCTTGGCGATGTTGAGCTCAAGGAGCTTGCGCCTATGCGGGGCAGAAGCGAGCTCGCTGACGCCTGCTGACGGATCATGCCCAGAGACGCTCGCGTCTGCGCGGGCGCGACAGGCCCAGAAGACGCCCAGCAGAGCAACGGCGAGGGAGGGCGAAGGGAAGCAGGACGAGAACGGAGGGCAGGGAGCCCGCTGGGCCACGCCGTAGCAGAGTCAATGCGCGAATGGCTCGCCTTGACCTGGGACCACACCATGGTCGTGTGTGTGTGTGTGTGCGGCCCCATGGTGTAAGCAACTGTCGTGTGGGACGCCATCGCGTCGGGCCCGATCGTGTGGCCCTTCCCGAGTGGGGCCCTGCGTCCTGGGAGTGTAACGTGCGAGGCCTTCTCGCGCGGGATATTATCGGGTAGGACCCTATCGTGCGGGGCCCTGCCGGGAGGGAGGGACTTACCGTGCTGGACCCTATCGGATGGGAACCTGTCATATGGGACCCGATCGCATGAGGCCCTATCGCGAGTGACCCTATCAGGTGAAACGCAATCGGGGGCGACCCTATCACCTGGCATTCTATCGTGAGGGCGACTACCGCGTGGAGCCCTGTCGTGGGACCCTATCGTGTGACCTTCTCGTGTGGGACCCTGTCCCCTGGGACTCGGTCGTGTGGGTGGCCCTGTCGCTTGGGACCTAATCATCATTGAACACAGCTGTGGTTCAGCCAGCGTCTGTTCTGAAGTACGTTAGCTAGAGATATGAAACTTCTTCATTCAAAAGAAGACAGCTTAATCTACACTTCAGCGTTGAGCGGAGCGTCCTCAGGTCCCTCCGAGTTCTTTCGAGGTCCCTGTATTGAGCATTGAATAATTCAAATGCTTCATGGGGCCTGGACCCCCGAGTTCTGGGCGCTCTCAGGCGCTCTGCACGTTTCCGGGGCGGCTCGCATGACTTGTCCAGGGAGGTCGACAATCATTGAAAAACTTGCGTGAGTATTTCAAGGTGGTAATCGACCCCGAGGCGAGAACCCAAACTGGCCCATTCGGAGGGGCGCTTGGCGCGCCAATTGATGTTATATCATTGTCTTCGCGTGGCATTATGCCCGTCCCGTCAGCCCTGCAGAAAGCGCTGTATGCCCAGAAGCTCGCCTCCAACAGGCCAAGACGGCCTCACGTTCCTTCCCAGTTGCTCCAAGACTGTGCAGGATGGTCCAGGATAGCCTCCAAGACGCACCAGCTGATCCAAGAGGGCTCAAGAAGCGTGCAGCGTGAAGTCCTAGCTGAGGAGGCTGTCTCTGAGGTCTCTCAGGCCATCTCGGAGGCCCTCGGGGTCGGCCCAAGAAGCCAAAATCATTGAACAACACACTAAGTCCCGATGTGTTTCGGATTCTCGCCGATTCGGTCGTAAGAGCGTCCAAGACTGTTCAAGAGGCCCCCAAGACCAGCTCAAGACGGCCCAGATAGGCCTCAAGGTCCCAAGACGGTCCAACAGGGTTCCAAGACAGCGTGAGTGTGCCTCAAGACGCCCTGAATGGTCCGAAGAGGGGCCCAAGACGACTTTGAGAGGCCCAAGACGGCCTCCGAAGCCGGATGGCTGTTCAAGACAGCTCTGAGACAGCCCAGGAGAGCCCCAAGAGAGACAACACCCAGGTGGCCCCAAGGGCCCCTCACCAGCCCACTGGAGCCGCCCCTGGGCTCTTCCAGGACGCCCCACCTCGACTTCCCTGGGCGTCGTTTCTGGATGGGCTGGTGGGATACGCGAAGGGTCAACAGTTACATATCTCAATCTGAAAACCCCCAGGGTAGCCGCCGAGCGCCGTGCTCCCTGCCTGTGCGGTAGGGGACTCCGAGGCGGCCACGTGGAGACCAGGAGGTGACCAGCAGAGGCGGCAAGACGGCTCCGAGACAGCTGCGCGGCAGCCATCGGCTCCCAAGTTGCTGCGCAGAGATGGACAAACGAGGTGACTGGAGTCAGCGAGCCTACGCTTCTCCAGGTTCGCCTTGAGGCTCCTGTTGTTGACGATGTGATTGCGGATGGGGTTCATGATGTTGAAGTCCTGCCCGACGGTATCACACAGGGAAGAAGAGAGTGGGGCGAGAAGTGCAGTGTGACAACGAAGGGAAGGGCTAGCGGACGTGTGCGAATTCGGAGGAGCAGGTGGAAGAGGGGCAAGGCTGGTGGTTGGTGGCGGGTGGCTGGCTGGCTGGCTGATGGCGGGGTGGCGGGTGGCGGGCGGCGGGTGCCGAGTGGTGAGCGGTGAATGGTGAGGCGAGAAGCGGCGGAGCGCGGGAGGAGGGAGGAGGGAAGAGCAAGGACTAAAGAAGGAGCAAGTAGGGAGGATGTTAGGAGGCAACTACTGGGAGGTTTTCGTCGGAAGGATTAAGGAGGATTAAGCCCCATTCAGGAACTGTTACGCCCAAAGGCCTCGGATCAAGCGGAATTAAGCAGGATTAAGCGGGACTAAGCGGGATTCAGCGGGATTAAGCGGGATTAAGCGGGATTAAGCCGGATTAGGCGGGATTGCGGACCAGGGCTAAACCAGAATTTGACCTCCCAGGAGTTGCGTCCGAAAGGATTTAAGAGCGAGGGAGAAGGGAGGAACGGAAGAAAAATGGAAGAAGGGGAGAAACACAGACCAGGAAATAGCCGGGACGAGGATGCCGCTTGCCTGGACCCCTTCGAGGCAGATCAAAGACCGGCCGATATCCGACCCCACGGTCATGGTGACCACCCTTGATCCGAGGTGGTCCTGAACCAAAGCTACAACTCGGTATGAACGCCCGCACGCAAAAGCACACGAACACTTGTCCTGAATACGGAGCCTTGTGACCAGCCCCACAAACTTACGCGGCAGGTCGAGGCACGCGACACGATCCATTGCGACGCACGCGCACACAAACACACACACACACACACACACAGCCACACACGTACACACACACACACACACATCCACACACACAAAGAAACAACGCACGCATACACACACACACACACACACACACAC